TTTTATTTTTTATTTATTTTTTGTGGGCATAAACATTAATGTAGTCCGTGTGGAATTTTGCCTGCAATATGCATCTACCAATCACGAGGGTGTGGAAAGACTGGTAGTTGAGAGTGAGTTTGATACCCAGATATAATTACTCTGTGTTGTATGTATATATATATATATATATATATATATATATGCTGGCTAATTTGTATTTTTAGATGTCAAAATATCCGAATTGATGTGGTTAGGATTAGAAAACAACAAATTAATAGAACTAAAAGTCAACGAGGTTAGAAAATTTATAAAAAAAACCATAATAAACTTTATTATGAACTCTTATTAGTAGTCTCGGTAGAAATATTTGCCCAGTCTAGTCTGATACGTTTTTCGATTAGTATCACAAAGAGTGTTATAACACTAGTTGTAACACTGATGATAGATACGTGTAAATGGATACATTTTTCTTTGATTCAGCAGCAGTAAATTATAAGTGCAAATAAGTAATGCGAAAACATAAAAGACACCAGAAAATGATATCGCAGTTCGGTGCGCACACCTACTCTGCGGGGCAACACCCAGACAGTCAACAATCTACTAAGATAAAGGGATTACAAACACCAATCGGTCTTACACACTCAAAGACTCTCTCCTTGATGTTGTCGCCGATACGGAGAATCCTCTTAGTGGCCTTGTCCAGCGAGCACCACTCATCTTTGAAAATTTTCTCCCGAAAGCAATACGTTCTTCTCCCGAAGAACCACCTTTTTTTTCACTCAACGAGCATCAAAGCAGCCTTTTGCTGCAGAGTATATCATTCAACAGCTCTCCCACGTTCATGGCTGCAAACCAAATATATACATTCCAAATTGGTCTATAGTCCCATATATTCTTCCACCAAAATCACCCTAAATAAAGCAACTTCTCCTCTAAGGATTCTTCTCATACATAGAGCCCATCAATTAGCCACCAAAAGTCAAACCAATCAGCTCCATATTTGCTTCATGTACATCACCTTCCAAATCATTCATCAATCAAGCCAAAAACCACTCCACATACAAGGAATCTATCTATATATATATATATATATATATATATATATTATCACCAAGCAATAAACCAAGCTTGATACTCCACGTGATTAGCTTTCCTCCTTCATTAATTTGGATTTATCAACCATTCCAAATACAGAATCATGTAGTACTTTTCATGATTTCTATCAAGAAAAATATTCTATATTCAAAGCAATCAAACAACCAAAATCACCTCTAATCTTTTCCATAAACACAAGTTGCTAAATATACCTGTTTTTGAATTTTTACCATCAATGCCAATAAATTGCCAACTGAAATCCTAACAGCACTTATTAATGGGAACAAAGAGGGCATTTTAATAATTTTTTTTTTAACTATAGTTAACAAAGAGGGTTTTTAACTAGTTAGTTGGAGAAGAAATAAGCTGTATTTATTAGCTATATGAAAACGGTATGTAATATTCAACACTTGAAGATTAATTCTTAGTGTGAGAGACAATAAATTAAACAAAATAATGTATAATATGTTACAGTTAATGTTATTGAATTAGTGTATTAGCTCTCTAATCATGTTCTTTTGCTGTTAACTAATATAAGTTGCTGTTCAAACGATCCCAATTTCCTGTTTCTTCGAAAAATTAATTAACGTTGATAACAATGTATTAGAGTTAAAAAAAAAAAAAAAAAAAAAAAAAAAAAAAACAGAGAGAGAGAGAGAGCTTAATTCCAAAATATTCATTTGCCACAGACATGTGTATTGATTGATTGATTCCTTTGATCAGGTGAAACGTATATATCCTTTATGTATAAGTAGAATTTTGGCAGCACCAAGGACTTCAGAGTTCAGACTATTGTTTCATCGTTCATGCGTGGCCAACATGCAGTTCCTTTGTTATTATGATCGGCATTTTTCCAAAGCAAGTAAGTTTTTTCTTTTTCCCCTTTTTTTATGTTTTATCCGGATGTATGACCAATCATTGTCAACATTATTATAACGAGTAGTGCCAGAGACACCAACTCAAATCTCAACTCTTGTATATCAACTGATGTCATTGTTAGTTGTTATTTAAAAAAAAAAATGAACATATATATACTTGAAATTGAAGGACGGAAACAATGACTTTAGAGATGCAAAAACCTAGTATTTAAGCTACTAAGAAGGAAGAACTAGAGATTGAACATATACTTGAAGGTAACCTTCAAATTTAAAAATTATTAGAGCGGTGTTGGTTGTGGATTCAAGCTTGGCACCTCTACGCTTTCGACACTATTTATGTTATACATTCTTGCACGCACACATTTAGCATGCGTTTGGAACAAGGATCCATGCTATGATTTAGATCATGGTTCGTGGCTCGTTACTGTGTTTTCTCTCACAAAAAACACACGTAAACTGAGAATAGTTTTGAATCATGATTCTGAATTCATGAACCAAACGTCCTCTTAGTATTTTTTTTATTTTATAACATGTTGTTAAAAAACATATATATTTTTTATTAAAAAAAAATCTAAACATGTAGGATTTTTAAACTCTCAAAGATAGCCATTAATACCTTCTATATTTATTCCATAAACATGTCAAAATAGACCATCAACCAAAGCGTTTTGGCTTACAGGGATGAACCCATTCATTAAACGTTGAATGCAGTATTATATCACCAGCACAAATCCAGAATGCTAAATCTAGCAAATTGGAGAGCGTCTCAAAAAACAAGTGATAATAATATATATACTCTCCTCAGTATTAGATAAGCTAGAGCAACAATTCATTAAATCCTTTATGTTTGAATTATTTTATATGGACTAGCATAATTACCTAAAGTCACATACTGATGTCAAACATCTTGTGCAAATTCCATATTATTCTCAACTGATATTTGAGACCATATTGGTCATGTATGGTATTGCTTGGGGCCATAGTGGGATGGACTCATTTACTTTATTGTCTGAGGCCAATGGATTCAGAAACCACAGTTTTATCCAGGCATATTATTTGTGCCATTATAAATAATTGAGTATTATCCTAGTTTTTAATTTTCTTTTTATTAATTAAATGATGATTATTATTTTTTAGTGTAGTGACATACTTTTTATCACCTTGAGTGCTACTTTTAATTTTTTTTTTTTTTTAATTAGCTCATTGAACTGAATAACCCTCTATTATTGTGGGCTTGGCCTAATAGGCTTAGGGTATATGTATGAAAAGCTTAAAAAAGTATATAGACCAATTTTTAGTTATAGAAATTAATAGGTCATAACTTGTCAAGTTATGGTTCATAATCAGATAAATTATGGATAAACTTGTCAAGTTATGGTTCATAGCCAGACAAGTTATGGACAAAAATCGTGAATTATGAACAATAACTTGTCAAGTTATGGTTCATAACTATACAAGTTATAGACAAAAACATTAATTTAGCCTATTTATTAACTTATGTGCCTATTAATTTTAATTCATCTCAAGTCTTGACCTATTTCCCTCTTTCTCCCTAAATACATCATCTTCTAACATATAATAATAAGATAAGTGTAGCTGTGGATTAGTGCCTATTGAGAGGAAAAGCAAGAGTGAATTCATCACTCTCACGCCACTTCATAGTTTTGTTCTCAATTGCTACTGGTCTTGCAGTTGTGATTCTTATCTGGACAATTCGTTCTACCATAACGGTAAATTCCAATGCCGACAGAGGTATGTTTTCCATTTTAATTTACTCATACTACAAATAGAAAATAGATTGATGGTTTAGGAAAACTTTCATGTTGTTGGTGTTGATTATCTCTGATTAGTGTTCGATTAGTATCTTGTAATTTTTCGACATTCTACTTTCAAATTAAAATCGTTAATAGACATTTTGACATGCAAGGAGTAACTTCAAAGGAAGAAAAAACAGCTAGCAAGCTGCAAAAATATAGTCCCGTTTTATCATGAGCTTAAAACATATGTAGATATATATATATATATATATATGTGCATGCGTGTGTGTGTGTTTGTAAAAAAAGCATACGCTCAAAACATCATAAAGATATATGGAAACACCGATCATAATACTTCCGAGTTCAGTGCCCTTAAATGTACATCTCTCATTGCTCATGTTTTTTTTTTCTATTTTATTTTTCTTTTTTGGGTATATATCTATATCAACTACGTACTAGCTAGAACTAGTTTAGTTTGTGCATTCCAGGTATTCCAGTTTACAACCTTCAAACTATTCTTTGTGCAAACAGTTCACGTATATAATATATATAATATTGACCTATATATATATATATATATAACACTTGGTCAACATTTTTCTTTCGATATGGATGTTTGCATATGAAAAGCTAGTAATATCCAAAAGAATCCCTCTAAAACAAGGAAAAGTAACACCAACATGAACTAGATTTTATCTTTGAAGGAAATAGTTAATGTGAAATCATCAAATACTTAACATATGCATATTGCGCATTGCATGAGATCAAACGTGTATTTCTTGCATGCGGAAGCGTACATTTTGTCTTGATGAAATTTACATAGCATCGACTTATCATGATTTGAATTAATATAGCACGCTGTGTGTCACTAATATATATTGTTCGTATACTTGTTGCAGAGTAAAAAACTATATGACAATCATAACACAACTGCAACGATTTATACAAGCAAAATATATAACCCATCACACATAAAAGTTCATAAATCATTTATGATCTGCCCAGAACAAAAAAAGGTTTATTCATACATCAGTGATAATACAGTTACATACGTTTCGTTTACAAGAACGATAATACACAGAAACCCACCAAAACACATGATCACAACCCCATTGGAAATTTAGTATAACTATACTAAACAAGTAAACGTGCACATTGCATTAAACTTTAACGATCCAAACACCTAAAATTCCATATGTATATAGTACGCAAAGCAAGCACTTGAACTAGTTAATTAATATCATGTGAAACATTGCAAGCTGCAGGTAATACTGATGATTCGGACATGCTATTCAACTCGATGATCATCAACCTTCTCGGAATCATTAGCACGAGATGTTATGGCGGATTCCCAGCCATTAGTGCAAGTAGTATTCACCGAGACGAAGTCGAAAGGCGCATCGGTCGAGAACGGTGTGATGAGGCCATTAGGCTGCAGTACTTGAGCCCCAGAAAAAGCATCCTCATTGATCAACGAGTTGAGAAATGAAGATAACACGTCGTCATCACAGCAGTTTAGATCATCATCAATATTATTCATGTCCTCCTCATGGTTGCCCACAACAAGGCTATTGTTTGTGATACTTCCGAAACCAACCTCGGATCCGTACAAATTACCAGGCAAATTTTCGTAGCCATGACGAAAATTCACTACTTTCCCAGTGTTTTGAAACTGGTCGGGACCAAGATCATCAGCATCAACTAATTGGTCGTAGCTATTGTCCTTGTTGTGTGTTTGGATCCCAACTGCACCACTTCTTGTTGTTTGATCTTCCCCAACAGTTGGATTTTGAATAGTACTATTGTTAGGGTTAGGATATTCGAATATGTGATGGTTGGTTTTGGAAGAAGAAGAAGAAGGTAATAAATTGTTGGTGTCGTGATCATCCGGGTTAAGAGGCTTGTGGGTTCTCGGATCTATCCCTTGGCTGATCAGCTTTTTACTCAGGTGAGTGTTCCAATAGTTCTTGATCTCATTGTCCGTACGCCCAGGAATTCTCCCAGCTATTAAAGACCACCTGAAACAACAAAATCGGCCAGCGGAGAAAACCTTAACCCTAGATACCCAAAAACGTACGTAAGGAAGAAGAAGCAATATTGAACAGCTTTCTATCCAACTCAAAAACCAATCTGAGGAACCCTAAAATATTTACAAGAACTGTAGAAATCGAAACCTTAATTAGTTAGCAGAAAAGTAGATCCCGAAGGAAACCCTAAACCTAGCTATGATATATATGTACATTAACATATAGAACGAACACGAAGATGTGGGACTTGGAGCGTTAAAAAAAATGGAAACCCTAGCTAATATTTGGGAGACAAAGAAGGAGTAGTACCGGTTGCCGAGGAGGCGGTGGAGGCGGAGGATGAGATCCTCCTCGTCGGGGGCGATGCGGCCGCGCTTGACGGAGGGGCGAAGGTAGTTCATCCAGCGGAGACGACAGCTCTTCCCGCAGCGGAGGAGTCCGGCGCGCTTCGGCAGTGTTCGCCAGCGCCCCTCTCCTTCCCTCCTTATGAAGCTGGCCAGCAACTCATCCTCCTCCGCCGTCCACGGCCCTCTCTTTATCCCCACCTTGCTGCAGCACGCCGTCGTCGTTTTACTACTACTGATCTTCTTCTCGTTGTCATCGTTGTTGCTGGTCATTATTATCTTCTTATTACAATTTGTCGTCTTTCCTTCAGGCTTTCTCATGATGATGATGCGGATTCTTGTTTTTTTTTTTATCTATGTAGAAAATCCAGGTAGAAATCTGGGTCTGTAATGAAGGAAATTAACGACAAAGAAGATGATGATGATGATGATGAAGTTGAGCGGATCTCTCCTTTTCCTCCTATCTCGCTCTCTTTCTATTTGTTGTTCTTTTTTTATATAATTTTTGTCTAAGGATCTTTTTCTTACGGTCTAAGTATTAAAGTACTAGAGACACAAGAACCATTGAGCTATGTTACTCGCAATTCACTTGTCTAAGCCCACGCGCTGGTCATATGGCTTCTAAGAATTTTGACCACTTTGTTGGTTGTAATTTCCTACTCGCGTCGCGAGTTGCTAGTTTGGTTTCATCCAAAGTCAAGTGTTTGAAAATAGTGTTCATTAGGCTTAATCATAGTACCGCTTTTGAAATCTCCAATCACTTCTACCTGTAAATTACGTTTAATGTTTCACAAAGATGGTATAATCCAATTAGGGGTGAAATGAATCACCCCGAACCCGACTACCCGACCCTACTCTATCTGAAAATATAAGGTATTTTTTTCGGTTTAAAATTAATCCAACCCGAAATGGGTGGGTAGGGTTGCGGGCCCAAGCTCCATTACCCCGCTTAACCCTACCCGGCCCGAATTAGACTGGACTCTTTGTTCATTGCTTATGTATGTGAAATCTTTTAATTTCTAGACTGTTTCCCATAGTTTACCCATGGTCTCATGCAAAAGCAGCAATTTAGCAAAGAATCGCCCATTTTGGAGTTGGTTTTCCGGTGAAAAAGTAGCTAAAATAAGCAAATTTGGAGTTGGTTTACCTGAAGTAACCCGGCCGACCCAAAGTTACCCGAGGTAACCGAATGGTATACGGGTTATGGGATTAATTAACATGTTGCAGCCCAGTGTTTTCTTAGGCCGATTATTGCGGGCCGGCCCAAAACAAGTCCAAAAACTGACCCTACCCAGCCGACTTTCACCCCTAATTCCAATTGTCTAGAATGAATTCCTCTAAATCTAATGCATGCATAATTAAAAATATGGTTCTTTTAAAACATTTTTTGAATAATAATAATAAATAAGACCCTTGTTATATTAAGGGTAAATATCATATTGGATTTAATCACATGTTTAATTTTTAGTGTTTCAAATGGTATCTAATCAATCACATTTTTCTATGTCACTTAATGGATTCAAACATTAAAACATTAAAAGTTAGTCAAAATGAATTTTATATTTTTTAAATGACGAGTTGACTAGTTTGATAATAAATACTATTTTACACACTAAAATTGAATCAATGATTTGAGTCTGTGTGAGATTGGTTGCTTAGCTTCTAAAAAGAAAGATTGATTGTTTAGGGAAAAAGAATTAACCTATATAAATATGGACATTATTGAATATTTTAAAAAAGAAAAATGATATAGTTAGTGCTTGAAAATTTAATAGTCATAATTACCAATCAGAAAATCAATACTCATAATTAAACAAGTAATTTAAGTTAAATAAAAAGACAATTTATAGATTTCAAGTTTGTTTTGAGTTTAGAAAATAAACATAAAAAAAGTTCGATCACTTTATTATGCAACACTAACTACCACTATAAGTGTGCCCCTCCTTAGCTAAACAGAGAAAAGCAAATCAAACATGGCTGATAAATTGGACCGCACACAAGAAATTAGAAGAGAAAACCATATCACATGCGTTTTTTCGTAAATTTGAACTCCTGTTTAAATTTTTTTGCTACAATATTTTTTCTTACAAAATCTAAATTTCTATTTAAATCTATGAATCAAGCAGACCCTTTTATTTTCAGAAATTTACTTTGTCAAAAAGGGCATTGTCTATCAAGATGAAAGGAAAAAAAAAAAACTAATATTTGTTGAGAAAATTGTTGAATTATTCTTAGAGTGTATAGTTCTAAATTTTTATCTATTATTCTTAATTAATACACTTTTAATTAATATTGTTATTGACGGTGAAAAGTCATCCAACAAGGTAATCTTGTGAGATGATTACATAGCCGATGAGCTCAGTGAATGAGATAGATAATTAGAATCGAAGAAGAGAATAAGAGAAAACTCATGAACTTCTCTTTAATTTTTTACTTTTTTCTTTCAAAAATCATAAAAATTTCATTGAAATTCAAATTGATTGCAAGGTCCTCTGTTTCTTTAAATAACTAATCAAAATCATTTAAAATAACGGTTATACAAATCGTCAGAAAAAAAAAAAAGGAGAAAGAAAAAAGAAAAGATGGAAGAATAATAATAATGTATATATTATTATTAGCAATTAATTTTTTTAAACACTAAGATTACCCTTCTCAGTATATATTAAATGCAATTAAAAACATTATTAAATCATAATATTAGATAAAATCAATCTTAAAAAATGAAAAACTCTCAAAATAATTGAAGTATTTATTTTATTGGAATATTTATTTAAATATTTTCAAAAAAAAATTTATTTAACTTTTCAGTAGGGGCGAAATACAAACATCAGAATTTTGTAAGGGCTCAAATTTTAATTTTTAAAAATAGATTGGGGGCAGCAGCCCTCACTGTGTGCTAGTACATAAGTTCTAGGTAGGCTTATGAAAGAAATTTAAAAAAAAAAAACAACAAAAAAAAACAAAAGACATAAAAACGTTATTAGGCTTATAAAAAGCGGAAATAGTAGAAAATAGGCTAATATGAAAAGTTTAAAGAAATATATAGGCCAACTTTTAGTTATAAAAATTAATAAGCCATAACTTGTTAAGTTATGGTTCATAACCAGATAAGTTATGGACAAACTTGTCAAATTATGGTTCATAGTCAGACAAGTTATGGACAAAAATCGTGATTTATGGATAATAACTTGTCAAGTTATGGTTCATAACCAGACAAGTTATGAATAAAAATAGTAATTTTACCTATTTATTAACTTATATAAACTATTGGCCGATTAATTTTAATTCATCTTAAATCTTGACCTATTTCCCTATTTTTTCCTGTAAAAAGGGAGGACCAATGCATATAGGACATTAAGAGAGATACTTGGGCCACATTTATAATTAAAACACAAAACTTTAGCTTCTGGTTTTCAAATTCTGCAAATTTGCAACAGATAGTTACAATCGAACGAATGCGTCACTTCTGATTTTCAAATCCTGATTTCGCACCGACCTGTTGCAACAGATACTTACAACAGATCTTGTAACAACGACCATAAAAATAGTCTTTTCAAATTTCTTGAATATTTATCATTGTCATACATGCCAACAATAAATCTTTAACAATTTATCAAGGAATTTTGGAAAAACAAAGATCCAAAAGATTGCTCTATTTTTAGCCAATCAGTTTTCTTTGCTACGTGCTTTGGGTAATTTGGACCATTCTCCGTGTAAAATCCAACAAAATTAAAATTGTGTTTTACCTATAATAGTGATAGGGTCTAAACTCTCAAATCATACTCAGTCGTAGCTATTTATTTTCTATTTTTTGTGTCAATTTCATGTCGATCCAATTCTGATCTGAACTTCTTTTTTTTTAATTTTAGGGCCCATTTAGTTCGCTGATTCGAGTTTTTAATTCGAGTTAAGATGTGACTTTATGTGAGAGCTTTTTACTATAGTAAAAAAGTTATATTTGACTGTTTCTAAGAACTTTTTACTGTAATAAAATTTAAATTTTAAACTTAAATTGATAAAATAAATGAAATTTTAACTTGTAAAATTTATGTCATTTTTAAATTATATTAAACTCGTATTACCGACTCTACTTATTATAACCAGATGTTCCGGACCAAATCAGCGTTTTCCCTTTTTCCCTATCAAAGGTTAGTATTCCCAAAGTACTCAATTCAGAAAAAACATTGCCGAAGTACTCTTTTTTTTTTTTTCCTTTTTTCTTTGTCCTTAATAAAAGCGTGGAAAGGGCCAAAAGCTGTAGGTTTCTTTTGGGCGCGACCCAAGAGGCCCAATGCATTGAAAAATGTTTACAATGAGCAATTATTACTTGTAATAGTTTAGTCAAACGGTAATAAAATATAATCATTCAGTACCATCAGTATTAAAATATGACAATTTTGGTAAAAGATCACGTCAAAAAGTGCATGAAAGCAATATCCAAATTGATAAGCTTTAGGATCATCAAAACTAAAACGAACTTGCATTATCCATCCTTATCCATTTGCTGCTACTAAAATGAGATGACTTGTTGTACAAGTCATTAAGTGACGTATTCAACAGTTGAAACATCAACATCAACAGAGAAAATTCCCCAAACTAAAGAAGGAAACAGTTGAGACTTTGCATGAGTCTTGAAAATGAATAAATAAATAAATAGATCTTATCCTTTGAATTGCCATTCCCTACGGCACATGGGGCAATGGCCCTGGGAAGACTAAGGTCCCGTTCATTTTATTGATTTGAGTTTACAATTTGAGTTTTGTTACAGTAAAAAGCTTTCACAAATAATTACTTCTAATTTTTTTACTACAGTAAAAAGCTCTCACAAATAATCACTCTTAATTTTTTTACTACAGTAAAAAGCTCTCACATAAAATCACATCTCAACTCAAATTAAAAACCCGAATCAACGAACTAAACGGGCCCTAATTCACCCATACTGCAATAGCAAGCCAATTGTTATTCATAAGAAAATGAATCTTCAAATCTTTGAAGTTCTAACAAATTGCTGTTAAAAATTGAAATGGGGAGAGAAAATTGCTCGAAACAAACAAGAATTTATATACCGTTTAGTTCGCTTATTCGAATTTTTAATTTGAGTTGAGATGTGACTGTTTTTTATAGCTTTTTACTTTAGTAAAAAAGTGAGATGTGACTGTTTCTGAGAATTTTTTACTGTAGCAAAACTCAAATTCTAAACTCGAATCGGTGAAATGAACGGGGTCATAGTCATTCGATGTGCCCTAAAAGACAGGCTAAATTCATAATCTAGTTCTGATATCACTCTCAACGTTGATCATGCAAATAACGACCATATTAAAAAAATCAAAACAAAACAAAACAGAATGTGTGGAGCAAGAACACCTATCTTACTTATCAGTCATGTGTTTATAACTTAATATTTGTAACAATAATTATAGATGACGGTCAGATATAAGTTGTTTATCCTTTTTATCTTATCACTTTCTGTTACTCTCGCTATTCATTGTTTGATATATGGACTTCACGATCTCATTTTCCGTTTAAATAATAGCATATCATGTTAATGAAGTCCATGTGTCAAATAGTAAATGCAAATAGTAACAAAAAGAGTGACAGAAAGAATAATACTAGCATTTCATATTTACCCAACCGTAAAACAAGGTAAGAGAAAGATAATGAGATTGGAAATGAAGAGAAAGTAATAAGAATGAGGTTCATTCATTCCCAATATGGTGTTTACTTGTCAATTTGATGGTGTAATGAGAAACAATCTCATACATTGCCTAATGTTTATTAAACTTATGAATAGTAATTTACTAAAATGTATATAACTAAATAACAATTGGTTTATGATATGTGAACTTATCAAGCGTGTATAAATAAATTTGGTATTCATTCTCTTCAATTGGTATTCTTTTTTTTTTTCAATCCCTATATTGTGTGTGAGAGACACCAAATTATCGTTACTAATTTTGCAAGTGAATACATTATTAAAAAGAAAAGAGAATTACTTACCCAAACACACCCTAAGAGTAGTTCAGTATTGGGATTTCATGGGTCACTCCAAGAAGCTGTAAAGAGTTATGTGAATCCCATTTTTGGTCCGGATATAATAGCAAAATGAAACTCCTTGGGAAGTCAGCGGTGTTGGCCTGCTTACAGGGAATTTGGTTGGAAAGGAACTGTAGAGTGCTCGTGGGGAATCTGAGATTTACCAAATATATTCGAGATTTACCATTAAAATTTATAGTATTCTTTTCCTTTATTAATACGAACTTGGTAAATCCAAAATTCACTTGACATATCTGAGATTTACCATTAAATTTTTCACTTTTTTCATACTAATACAAACTTAATAATGACTTATTTAACATGATCATAACAGGTTTACTATATTTATTAGTCAAAATAAATGAATTTTACTTATAAATATTAAAATTCATATTATTTATATTTAATATGTCATCTAAACATTCATATTATATCATAGATTACAGATGACATATTTAATTAATCGTGTCAATTCGTGTTAGGAGGTCAATCCTAACTCGTTTATTAATAGTGTTAATCATGTCAACCTAATTATGACCTAAATCTATTAATAATAAACCTAAATCCGCTAATTTCGTGCGAGTTTCGAATCGCGTTGCGTAATTGTCACTCCTACATTAAAGTCTCTATCAACCAAAAAAATAAAACGAGAACAACGACGATGAGGAGGAGAAAATAGTCATTTGACTTGGTGCCTGCAGAACTTCTAAAAATGATCTCCTTTTGCAATTTAAAATGGATAATTTGGACATACAATTCCTTTCTCCATTTAGATTTGGAACTAAAATCCCACACTAAAAAAGCTATTTTAGCTCTTCCTGCTCCTCTTTTATGAATTCCCTCACGAATTTACACGCCTACCAAAAACTGTATGCTCACTAGAAAAATTTAAAACAATAGTTTCGTCATGTGGGCAGCGTCTGCACTCGTAAATGCTTGTACTTTTGCTCGACGTTAAAGCGCCGTGCGCTTTCTGTCAGGCCTCTAGCGAGTAGATACTTCAATATATCAACTCCCTCCTGCATGGCGACATCAATCTTGTGCGAAAAAAGCAAAGCATGTTACTAAAAGCAGAAAAGAAAAGACTGTGTTTGAAGTTGTTTTTATTTTTGTTTTTTACGTTTTTTGAGAAAGAAAAAAAAAACATGAGAGAAATGACGTTTCACATAATTAAAGATAAAAAACGGAAATGAAAACGATTTTTTAGTTTAGTGTAAAATAAGAGAGAAATGTTTTTTGTTTCAGTTTTGTCCTCTCTCAAGTAGAGAAAGAGAGAGAGAGACATTAATAAATTTTTTTTATATTGAAAATAATCTCTTGATAAAACTACCAAATGCATTTTCAAAAATAATTTCTGCATGAGATTAAAAACGTTTTCATTTCTATTTTCATACAAAAAATAAAATCATTTTGAAACGAGTTTCAAATGCAATGTTTTCAAGTATTAAATCAACAAAGTGCTTAACCATGACTGGCCTGATAAATGAATTAGTTCGGCACATAAATCATTGAACTTCCATGAGAGCATATAGGCCTTGGCCAAAGGAACGTACACTCCCAAGTGACAAAATCCAATTCAAAACAAATCTTTAATCTGAACTCAAATGAAATCCACTAAAAAAATATACACGTACACAAAAGGGGGATTTGTTTTTCCATTAAAAAAAGGGCGGGATTTGTTTTATCTAGTGAAAATATTTCACAAATGATAATGATTTTCTATAATACAGAAAAGTAAATGGATGTCTAGCATAATAAGAGTTCTAGTAAACTTACTTGTTCTTGAGCTTTTGCATTGAACTTTTGGAGTAAGAATGCTTTAGGATCCATTTGACCAGGTGGCCTCCCTATACCTGATGAAAATATAATCAAAATAATCCGGTGTTGCCAAAACCAAAAAAGGAAAGTAAAAAGATTATAAAAACTTGACACATTGAAACTCACCAATTCTAAACCGAGGAAATTCTCTGTTTCCTCGGAAGTGTTGGATCACGCTCTTTAGTCTAGCCAAAAGTTTTAAAAAGAAAGTGAGAGCTGATACTAAATGGGTTAGTCTTCAAACTAAAGAAAGCAATAACAAACCAGAACTATTCTCTTCTAGTTGCAAGTGAACTCGTGGATTTTCTTTAATTATAAAGCAACTCATATTCTGAATCTAGGTGAAAATTGGAGATATGACGAAAGAGAACAATCACAAAAAACTAAGTACAGCACATTTCCAAAACAAATACTGAAAAGCACAAAAGGAAAAAGGTCTTCCACGGATTAGAACAGAAAGCCTGTAAATATGCAAGTTATTTCGTAGCAACTCATCGCAATATTTTCTATTGAGGAAAGAAAGAGAGGAAAAGAACTTTTTTTCTGTACTTGATCTAACAAGCTCCAATACCAACGAAAAACAAAAACATGAATTCATGTTAGCTTTACATGGATCCTTCCAACCAAGTTATAAATTGCCTTAAAACTTTGCAAAATGCTCGAACAGGTCATTAATTACACCACGAGTGGTAATCTGATAGTACAAACCAAAACCGGGAATCAATTCCTTTCTTAGATCTCCTAGCATGTTGAAAACCCGAAACTGCAGTATCTCTCTCATCATCACCATTCTAGTTTTCATACGAAATTTTACAAAACAAAAAAACAAAAAAAACAAAAACAAAAACAGAAGGCAAAGCAAAGCGAAACAAAAAAAACAAAACAAAACAAAACCACCATTGTCATAACCTGATTATCCAGTAAGTCATTTAGAACTAATTCTGCTGACCAAAAAAAAAAAAAGAACCCTAAACTTATCGTACCCATTGTGGCTTCCATGACCTCCTTTGTCTTGAAGACGAAGAACCCCACGTGGTAAGGTCATGTCATCATGAAACTATCACCAGACAAGAGTGAAGAGTCAAAAGGAACAATTCAATAAGGTTGAAAAAATATACATTTTTTCTTTTTCGTTGATAAAGAGTAAAAACTCACAAGGCAATAGATAGGAACAGGAAGAGAAACAGTAACTGTATAAATAATAAAATTACCACAAGGACGCGATTAAGCGGTAGCTTATAATATGCTGCTAGTGGCCCCGTCTGTAGTTAAGTAAAGATAAATACAAATTAGAAACAAGTTTGTTCAAAACATGATGTTTCATATTCAATGCAAAGTAAACTTCATATAACTAGCAAATCATGAGGACAAAATGTTGTATCTTATGTGAGGTGTGAAAAACATGATTTGATATGTTTCACATTCAAAAATAGATATCAATTTCAAATTTCAGGTGTTCAAGCACCGTAACATCTCTAGATTGAACCATAAGTTGTGTCTTAGAAATCCAGTGATAAGGAACAAAATCCAAATGGTGAAATAGCATACTAAAACCCCTAACATTACTGAAGAAAAAGAGAATCCTAATTTTTACCTATAATTAACTAATGCTTTCTTGCATTTTCATGTCATAACTTTTTGCTATAGTGTTTTCTCTCTCAAAAATTTGAATTTCTATTCAGACTTATAAACCTGATGGGCCAACACATTTCATTACAATTTCAACCATAAATCTTGTGCCAAGAGAACCAACATACATCGGTGTTTATTGGAGATTATACACATTCGTACATGCCGAATGGTCATCTCTTCAACTAAGATTGATTTGTATTTAAGTGGGCATCAGAATTGAGAACTCCCACATCAAAACCAAATCTATAAGCCAGTAAATCCCAGAATTGTATTGCCAAAATTCTAAACAAAGAAAGAAAGAAAGAAATCAGATAGTATTTGATTGATAATTTCGGGGCATATATAAGGAGGAAAAATAAGAAAAGAGCAGTGTATCTTAAAAGAAACTCTTAAAAAAAAAAAAAAAAAAAAAGGAACGAAAAAAGACAAGAGGCAGTAAAACTAAAATACATATACTTAATAGTTATGAGTGTTGGAAATTATACATCAAGCATGCATTCATCTTTTGAAGGCTTTGCCCCGAGATTAAAAATCTATTGTAACGAGCTTAACCGTTTTATATTATGAATTTCACTTCTAAGAACGTTCCAAAGCTGAAAATTCAGGTTAAATGGTATGACCTTGTTATTTTGATAAATTACGACAATATAAATAACAGTGGAAATAACAAAGAGTGCGTTTGGAATTAATTCCAAAACGTTTTTGTTTTTTGTATGAAAATGAAAACGAAAACGTTTTTATTTTCATTTTGGAATCATTTCTGAAAATGCGTTTGATAGTTTTATTCTGATATTGTTTTCAATTTTAAAAAAACTGAAATTGTGTTTGGTAGTTTAATTTTTAAAAACATGTAATAATATTTAAACTAATAATATATTAAATAAACATATCAACTCATTTCCTTACCTCATCAATCAACCCAAAATCGGGGCCTAAAACAAGAAAAAACGAAAACCCATTTCTAGATGAGGAGGGGGTGGTTAGGGGCAGTGAGGTCGAGGCGGGAGAGGAGGGGGAAAATGCGGAGACTGGTGGGGGGCGCGGTTGGAGTTAAGAGGGGGTGAAAGGCGGGGGGGGAGGGGGGGGGGGGGGAGAGGAATTTGAATTGATTTTTTGATTGAGATTCGATTACAGCTTGGAATTGGAAGAAGAAGAAGAAGAGCAAGTTGCGACTTTGGGCTTATATTACGATTACAACTTGGGTGTGGGGGTGGGGGTGGGGGTAGGGGGGTCAGGGGAAGAAAATGAAAATGGAAAACTGAAAACGATGTTCAATCGTTTTCAGTTTTGTTGAGTTTTTATGAATAAAGTAAAAAACATTTTCATTTTCTGTTTTTCAAGAAATGCTGCCAAACGGCTCTCTCAAAGCATTTTCATTTTTTAGTTCTTGAAAAACGTGAAAAATGAAAACGAAAACGGAACCAAACAGGCCCAAAGATTCTACACAATAGCTGGAGAAGTAGTATAAACCCAGGTTCATAGTTTATGGAGGAAAAAATAAATTTAAATTTCCGAAATAATATATTTTGAAAGAAACTCGGAAAGGAATTGTGAATAAGCTTACAGATTCACCACTCAGGTTCATGTAGGTCTGAGGCTTTGAAAGAAAAATAGGGATCTCGCCTACATAACCTGACAAATTCCACAAATCCAATAAAATACATAAACAAGTAAGAAAAACTTCATTCTTTAAAATAAAATAAAAAAGTAACCCAGATGGATAACAAATTTATTTCATGTCATAGAAAGTGAAATAAAAAAAAAAAGGTTAAAGGAAGGTCTAAAATAACAGAAAATACCTTGCCCAAAAACAGCTTTGCAATGGACAGTGTTCATCATAATTCCTTGTGATTCAGCAAAAGCGTCAATCATCTCAAATCCAACCTGCTAATTCAAAACCAAAAAATGAGAAGAAAATATAAACTGAAAAATCAAAAGATGGGTATTGAGAATCATCATTTATTAATTTCATACATTGTGTCTAGTTCCTGAGTATTTAAGACCTGGGTTTCCCAAACCCACGAAAAGCCATGGCTGTGGAGAAGGAGAATTGCAAAAGCAACGCCTACTCAAACCCTTGAGCATGTCCCAGAAAAGAAAAATCAAATCAATCTTTTGAGTTCTTCTTCACCATGCACTGTAAAATCCTAGCAACAAGATTTTCTTTTCTTCGCTAAGAAAATAGCTTTCTGCCGAGAAAATGTGATTTTAGGTAGGAATAACATAAATTAAAGCAAAATAAAAAATAAAAATTCTAAACCCCGATCGGAATTAACACAACTATCCATAAATTATGCATTCAATGTCTAACAACAAAAATAACAGCATTTTCACTCGACTTGGCATCTTCCAGAACCGATAAATCCTCTTTTTATGTTCTTCTCGACATTTCTACAAACAGTTGGTGTGCAAGATGAGACCAAACAGATAGGGACATTAGGAACCTCGCCCAGAAGAAAAATGAACAAAGAGAAAATGGATTCCACCCCAACTTCGCGCTTTGGTTAACACGACATTAACGTCTCGTTGCTTTCGCTAGTTCGAGACAGAGAGCTTGGATCAAGAGCCGTTTAGTTCGCGCCGTTTAGTTCGCTGCTTCGAGTTTTTAATTCGAGTTGAGATGTGATTTTATGTGAGAATTTTTTATTGTAATAAAAAAATTAGATGTGATTATTTCTGAAAGTTTTTTACTGTAACAAAACTCAAATTCTAAACTCAAATCGGTGAAATGAACGGGACTTAAAAAGTGCTCATTTATTTTGCTGATTCGAGTTTAGAATTTGAGTTTTGTTATAATAAAAAGCTCTCAGAAATAATTACATCTAACTTTTTACTACAATAAAAAGTACTCACATAAAATCACATCTCAACTCAAATTAAAAACTCGAATCAGAGAACTAAACAGTCACATCTAATACAATGAATAAACACTGTATTAAAAAAATTAAATTTAAATTTTATAATTAAAAAAACACTGTATTAAAAGTATAATTCGAAGTTGAGTTATAATTCGAACAAAATAATGAGGTTTAATTCGAGCCAACAATGAGGTTGATTAGCAAAAACCCAAAACAATGAGGTTATAGTTGAAGACATAGATAGAGATTATTTATTATAGATATAAATAATAGATGGGTATAGACGCAGAGGGCTTTTTCTTATAATTTTTTTAATAAATGGTCGAAATTTTATAAAATTAGTAAAATGCCATTTTTTTGTTAACTTAGTTGTCAATTGCTCATTTATTATTCTATTATTGGTTGACTTAATAATCTATATTTATTTTAGTTTATTAATTATCAATTAGATGGTTCTGATCAATATGAATTAATAATTAATCAAAATTAATTGATAACTAATCAATTTTAATTGATAAATTATAATTTTATTAATTATAAATTATTGAAACTCAATAATAAATCGATTAATCATTAATTAATTACTGTAAAAAACGGTCATTTCGCTAAAATAAAAAGTTCTGCCATTTGTTTAAAAAAATAAAGAGTTAAATCTTTCAATAGTCTCTAAACTTTAGTCTCTTTCTAGAATTAATCCCCGTAATTAATTTTGTCTCATGAATAATTTATGAACTCAAAAAGTGTCTCGTAAATAGTTTCTTTGTAAAATTTTAGATGGCAACCATGTTCTTAAACTATCTTCTTTCTACTAAATTTAATCCCTAAACTTAAAATATATATATTCGCCAAAAGTAATTCACTTTTTAATTAAATAGATGTAAAAAAAAAAATTATATATGTGAAGTTGTACCAAACTTAATCCCTAAATTTCTAGACAACTTGATATGAACAATAATATTTTAAACTTTTTTTTTTTTTGTAGTAGATAAAACAATGTTATAAAATAATCGTGACATATATTTTGTTGTATTGTGGATTGTGGTTTGCAATTAATTACTTTTACTTTTTTTTTTGAGAAACCTTTTCCCTTTAATTTAGTGTTGAAAGATTTTAACGAGTGAGTAAGACGTATATAAGTATTGTCTTCTTGGTTGAATTTTGAATGTGTTGGGTTTCAATGTTTTGTTTTGTTTTGAATTAAATTTGTTTGTAATTTTATTTTTTCACAGAATTTTGCTTTTTTGTAAGAAAATAAATTAAAAAATCTTAAGTGACAAATTGGAGATAAAAGGGTTAAAATTGGTATAATACAAAAGATAATTATGAAAGCATGTGTGTCTAAAGTTATTATCATCAATAATAATAATATGGGAATATGTATTAATATAATAGGTAAATATAATTAATACAAAAAAACTAAGGAGTAAATAAATAAATAAATAAGACGATTTGTGTAGCAAAAAACTAAATTTTGGTACAATTTCTCATATTTAATGCTTTTTTCATCTACTTATTTAAAAAAAACTAATTTTCGCATATGTATTTTTTAGGTTTATGGATTAAATTTAGTAGAGAGAATATAATTTAGAGACTTTTTATAAGACAAAATTAACGGTTTTCATTCAAAATTTAATAGATAGACATTTTATGCGAAACAGTTTGAGTTTAGTGACTGTTCATAAGATAAATTTCACTACAATGACTAATTCTAAAAAGATAGAAAAGTTCAGAAACTATTCGTAAATTTAACTCAAATATAAAAATTTCAACTATTTATTAAAAAGGGGTAAAAAATGCCATTTACCTGATTTTTCCATGATAGATTATGAATTATGGGTGAATTTTTAGAAAGGTTGTACTATCCCCGAATTGTGTAATCATATTCGATCAATTTTTATAAATATTTAAACCATACTAAACTTCAAAAATAAAGCAACAATCAACTATATACTCCCATATAAGTTTTTATTTTTGTAGATTTTAGTTTTACGAACTTAATTCATTTGAAAGAAGAAAGACAACAGATAAAAGAAAGACAAATGATTTAAAATATATATATATATAGTTGCACTGTTGCTTCTGGTTCAAAATTTTAAGGCTCGTTCAGTTTGTTGATTTGAGTTGAGATGTGACTTTATGTGAGAGTTTTTTACTGTAGTAAAAATGTTAGATGTGATTGTTTCTAAGAGCTTTTTACTGTAGCAAAACTCAAATTCTAAACTCGAATCAGTGAAATGAACAAGGCCTACAGTTTACTTCATGCTCTTTGAAAATTTTTTTTGGCTCCGGGTGACAATAGGATTTCATTACGCGTAGTTAACAGATTTGAAGGATTAATTTGGGAATTTTGCAGCCACAATTGTTATTTTCGTTCATTTAAAGCAAAATCATGATACTGCCAATGTGTGTACAAAAAAAAGCGACATTGTCCATCTACAAATTTAATTGTAGTTAATTGAAGGACTAAGTTTGGGATGTCAAAATAAAGTTGATTATTTAAGTTAAAACCCTTTTAGACATTCGATCAATAAGGTCTCGTGAATTTGTCTCGTCTTTAATTTATTAGGCCATTTCCAACTCATTTTATTTTAGAGTTGTTTTATATTTAAAAAGAATAATTTTGCGCATCTCCCACTCATTTACGATAAACTTTACTTCAAAAGAAATAGTCTTGATATATTCCTTTTGTATTTTTTTACTTACTACAATAATTTCTAACAATTAATCTATTTAACGAATTATGCACATATATAGTACATATTAATACAATAAAAATAATATATTATTTAACCAACTTGTAAAAAACAATAAATTAATAATATTAATTACACACGAACTGACATTAAGTACACAATTTGACAACCAAACATTACATTTAATAGTAAAACATAAACACAAAAAAATAAAATAAAATAAAAATACATCTCCAAGCGTCATTTAATTGTCTGAGTTATTATCCCCTGAATTAGTATACTCCTCCCGCAAATGATCAATTAATGCATTTGGAAGTGCAATGTGAGCCTTTTTATCCTTGTTATGTTCATGGTAGGACTGTATAAAAAAACCATCAAACCGAAACCGACTAAAAAATTGACCGTTCAAAAAGTGAAAACAACGGTGCCACATGGAACCAAATATAATCGGTTCGTTTAACCGACCGAACTGCCTTAACGGCGGTTCAGTTTCAATTTTGTTTTCAGAGGTTCAGTTTTTAATTGAACCGACTGAGGTGGAGAATTTTTTTTTTTATTTTATGTTGTCATTTTTTTTCTTTTTTTTTAATTTTATGTTGTCGTTTTCTTAACTCTTACTCATAGACAAGACACATATCACTTTTGTCTCTTCTTCATGTCATCTATGATCTCCATGCCTCTCTCAGTCTCACGGTGAAAGAAGCCTTAGCCGCCAGCCGCACTCCGCCTCTCTCCTCAGTCCTCCACGCACATCCGCCTCCGCCAAGCTATCTCCTTAGTATTGTTTGTTGTAACTTTCTAGTTTATATTTTCTACTTTGTACTTTGGATTTTAGACTTTAGATTTGGATATTTTGTGTTTGTGCAATTATCAATTTAGTTATTGTGCTTTGATTAATTTATTATGATTACATGTTTGCATTGAATGAAAGTTTTACATTTTTTTTATATTTTTTGGTCAAAAAATGCAACTAAAGATGTTGGTAACCTGATAGTTAACTGAGGTCACCTTCCTGATTACCAAAACTGAAAAACCGACTAAAACCAAAGTTCGGTGAACTGAACCGAATAATGTTGCATGCGGTTCGGTTTCGGTGCCCACTTTTAAAAAAATAACATGGTTGGTTCGGCTACCGAACCGACCAAAACTGATAGTTTTTAACTGCCGAACATCCCTAGTCTATGGCGTGCAATTAATCGTTGAAATCGAGTATTTTTCATCTATCACTGTTTCAACTTTTGGTGTTGGCGCTTCCATTGCATTTTGAATTGGTGCGCATGCACTGATGTTCATTTTCACAAATATTTAAATTAAACCAAAATCATTTAACAAAAATTAAAAACTGGGATATACCAAAAGGATGATTTTATTTTTTTGGTAGCAAAAAAGAAGAAATTTTGATCATGTTTTTGAACTTGGGTAAAAATTAGAAAATAAAAATATACAAATGAGATTCTATTATAATTAACAAAAGCATACAAAATAGCATTTTACAGGAACACTGCAATTTTTAGGCTTGGATTGACATGTACCAACAAATATAAATTATTGCAGAGAATTTCACAGCTAAAGATACTTTAAAAATCATAAAATCCATAAAAATCACAAACATAAACATGAAAAACCCACAAAACTCTCACAAAATTCAAAGATACTAAATGAAATACACAAAAGTACGAGTATAATTTTGTTGAGTGCACAAAACTTAAGGTGACATTTGTTTCAAGGGTTCTGTCTGATTTACGATCATGATTCTTGGTTATGCTATAATATTTTTCTCTCATAAAAAATTTAAATTTTAAAAACTAGAATCATGAACCATAGTTTTAAACTCATGAACTAAACGTCACCTAAATGATATCACGATGGTATATTTTGTAATAGTTTTAGCCCATAACAAAAGTCAATCCGACCTTAAAAACCATGACATATATTGCCTAAATATCTAAAAAAAAAGAAAAAATAATAGCGCATAACGTAGGTGGCATAAATGATGCGACACTATAAATCAACATTTTGCTATTTTGTTGGAGATGGTCTTAGCATTTCTCTTTAGATGATAAAATTATTTTTTTTGAATTCAACCTAATTACGAGGCCCTACTCTTTTTTTTTTTTTTTTTTTTCCTTTAAACAAATGACTTTAGTTCACACACCCTTCTTTTGTTGAAGTATCAATCATGTAATGAGGTTGGTTTAGGTGAGAATAAGTGATCATTGTTAAATCGCTCTATGCAATGACTAGTTTGACATTCTGTCTAGTTAGAATGGAACAAGTTTGATATTTGAAGATTGTGAGAAAGTCATTAGACAATTAACTACTGGAAAATGGAGGGTTTTGTTAATTTTTCGTACTACAAATTAGATGATTATGTGATGACACATTGCCATCGTATATTAATAACCAAAATAGACGGTTCTTATCAAGATTTTTTTTTTTTTTCCCAACTTGGGATCTTATATCTCAATCAAAGATTAAATTTAGAGCCCGTTTAGTTCGTTGATTCGAGTTTTTAATTTGAGTTGAGATGTGATTTTATGTGAGAGCTTTTTACTGTAACAAAAAAGTTAGATATGACTATTTATGAGAACTTTTTACTGTAATAAAACTCGAATTATTGAAATAAACGAGGCATTAACTTTTTTAATGACCATATATGTTAAAAGGACATTCTTTGTCGTATTATTCAAACAATTAGTCGATGGAAAGGTGAAGATTGCAAATGTAAATAATTTAAGGGTTTGTTCTTTTGGAGTTTAATTTGAGTATAATTTTTGAATTAAATTTGAGTTATAATTTGAGTTAAACTTGTAACTTGAGTTTGTGTTTGGTTGTATATATTTGAGTTATGGTTTGAGAGAAGAATCTTTTTGAGTTTGTATTTGAGTGAGTCAAAACTTGAATTTGTATTTAGATAGTATTTTAATAAAAACTGAATGTTGATGAAAAATTTTAATAGGGTATATGGGTCGGGTTTTATTCGTCTTTTTGTTGTCAACGTATAGAAAAAAAATCATCTCAATCAGAATTAAAACGAAAAAGTTATAGTATTTTTAATAATAGAAAAAATATTGTTCATTAATTTGAGTTCGAGTTTCTAAACTCGAGTTGAAGGGGAAACTTGAACTCGAGTTTTAGTCCTAAACTCGAGTTTGAACTCGAGTTTAAATTTGAGTTTAAACTTAAAAGAACATGAACCCGAATAAAGTTGTAATTCGAGTTACCTTTTTTTGAGTTTTTCACTTAAAATAACAAGTCTTTAAATTAGTTGGATAAGATTTTGCAATTTCAAAACATAAGATCTTACAATATTAAGTGGAGTGGGTGTAATGAATTTTTGACAAATTAAGTACAGTTTGCTTATTACTACTGACCAAAGATTATTACAGCTCATTATAATTGTACGCAAATAAATAAATAAATAAACATGCTATTTATTTATTTTTATTTTATTTTATTTCATGTGCACTTCATATCCATAATCCGTAACATACATAAAAGAACCAAACACTATTTCTATCTCTATTTCTGCATTTGCCTGTTGTAACTCTCACTTTAAAAAAAAAAATTTATTTTACTTTTTTTAATTCTTACTTTTTGCTTATTTCTTGTGAAAATCCTTCTACACTTTATTTACTATGTTTGTTTAGAATCTAATATAACAAGATACAAAAGAATCAACACTTTTTTTTTTTTTTTTCTATGAGATTGTCATGTAGCAGCCCATCCATTTACCTTATTTGTTTTCTTAACTTTTTTATCTTTATTTTTTTGAATTTTTTACATTATAATTTTTTTGTTTTTTAAAAATATATATTGTTCCTACAATACTCTTATGAGTATTTTTTTTCAAATATGTTCATATTTTAGTTTTAGTTGGTTAAAATAATTTCCTCCAAACGCGTCTATATATTTTTTGGTCAATTGTTATTTTTACAAATATTTTTTAAATAAATTCAAAAATTCTTAAATAGTTGTATAAATAAATTGCTCATATTTAGTAAACAATATACTTATTAAATATCTCCAATGCGTTAATACGTGTGGAGTACGTCACAAAACTAAGAGGTTGTTCTTTTGTAACGAAATTTAGAAAAAATTTGAACTCGAGTTACAACTTTATTTAAGTTCATGTTATTTTGTAAAATTTGAGTTTGAACTCGAGTTTGGGGTTAAACTCAAGTTTAAGGGTCCGTTTAGTTCGTTGATTCGAGTTTTTAATTCAAGTTGAGATGTGACTTTATGTGAGAGTTTTTTACTGTAGCAAAAAAATTAGATGTGACTGTTTATGAGAGTTTTTTACTGTAACAAAACTCGAATTCTAAACTCAAATCGATGAAATGAACGGGGCCTAAGTTTCCCTTTCAACTCGAGTTCATAAACTCGAACTCAAGTTAATGAACAATAATTTTTCAATTATTAAAAATGTCATAACTTTTTCGTTTTAATTCTGATTAAGATGATTTTTTTTCTATGCATTCACAATGAAAAGACGAATAAAACTCCACCCATATACCCTATTAAAATTTTTCATCACCATTGAGTTTTTATTAAAATACTATCTAAATACAAATTTAAGTTTTGACCTACCCAAACACAAACTCAAATAGATTCTCAATTCAAGTCATAACTCAAATGTGCACATCCAAACACAAACTCAAGTTACAATTTTAACTCAAGTTATAACTCAAACTCAATTTAAAATCATCACCCAAGTCACCTTAACTCAAAAATGTCAAAAAAAAAAGAACATTCCCAAAATAATAGTTGCATGAACGAAAATATAAGACCAGAAATTCAACGATGTTTTTTTTTTTTTTTTTTTTTTTGGCAATAGAGTATTTCGTTATTTTTTTTTATTTTGCGATATTCAAACAAGAAAAGAAAATGAAATGGAGATAAGTGTTTATCCTTTTTATGTAGTTAGATCAGAATCACAGAATAGTGATGGGTATTAAATTATTAAAGTACACATCTCTCTTGTTTTTTTTATTAATTCTTAATTTTTTCCTACATGAGGCTAATAGGGAAATAGAGAGACAATGAAAAAGCCAAGTTTCAATTTGTTTAATCGGTGGGGTATATAGCAATTATACATTAGTGGAAATTATTTATTTATTTTTCATCTCTATTAAAATGAACAATATGCTTTTTTTTTTTTTATAATTTTGCTTGGCTAATAAACAATATGCTCATTGGAATGAAATAAATTAAACGTAAACATGCATTGGCAAGCAAATACCACTAAAAAAAAGTGAATAAAGTATTAATTTCAGGGAAAGTTGCTGAAAAAAAAAAAAGTTTTGATTGGTACCGGTACAAACAACCATACTAATAGAAGATGCTTATTTTATCTTCTTTTTAGAAACTCCTTTATTCTTTTGGAGGTAAAAAATACAAAACCAAAAACACAAAACAAGTTGAAAAGGGCAAAACCAAAAAGAAAGAAGAAAAAGGCAAATCTTTTATCACGATATTATGGCAAATTAAAAAAAAAAAAAAAACTACACACACCTTTCTTTCCCTTTCTCTTTTGACCAATTTTTTATTCATTTCCTTTTCTAAAAATTCAAAAGAAAGAAATTAATATGAACACACAAAGAAAAGCAAAACATTAATCATGATTCATGACCCAAAGAGAAAAAAAAAAAAAAGAAGCAATAATACAGCTAATCAAATCACCTAAAAAAATCACACCAATTTTTCCCCCTTAAAACAAAAAAAAAAAAAATATATATATATATATATATAAAGTAAAAAATAAAAAAAAATAAGAATAAATTTGGTTTGCCCTAATTCCCAGACAGTTGCCACCCAAAACCAAAATCCAAAACCCTTTCCCTTTTCTCTCTTCCGTTTCCCCAGCCTCCCTTCTCTTATTCTTCTTCTTCTCTCTCTTCAACCAAAATATTCATATAAAAACCTAGAAGAGAGAGAAAGAAAGAGAAACAGAAGCGGAAGCCATATCCAAACCCTCAAGCTCTTCTCTTCTCCACAATCGGATCACCATCGCCGCCATGGCTCAACCTTCCGAGTCGACTCAGCTCCAACAGGCACAACTCGCGGCGATTCTCGGCCCCGACACGGCCCCTTTCGAAACCCTAATCTCTCACCTGATGTCCTCCTCCAACGAGCAGCGCTCCCAGGCCGAACTCCTCTTCAACCTCTGCAAGCAGACTGATCCAGACTCTCTCTCTCTAAAACTCGCTCATCTTCTTCAATTCTCCCCTCACCCCGAGGGTCGCGCCATGTCCGCAATCCTCCTGAGGAAGCAACTCACCCGCGACGACTCCTATCTATGGCCGCGATTGAACCCTAACACCCAATCTTCTCTCAAATCTATCCTTTTGGTCTGTATTCAGCGCGAGGAGACGAAGTCCATCGCGAAGAAGCTTTGCGACACCGTGTCGGAGCTTGCGTCGGGGATTTTACCCGATAATGGATGGCCGGAGCTCTTGCCGTTCATGTTCCAGTGCGTTTCCTCCGATTCGCCGAAGCTCCAGGAATCTTCGTTCTTGATCTTCGCCCAATTGTCGCAGTACATAGGAGATTCGTTGGTTCCGCACATCAAGGAGCTGCACTCGGTGTTCTTGCACTGTCTCAACTCGCCGACGTCCAATCCCGACGTGAGAATCGCGGCGCTCAATGCGGTTATCAACTTCATCCAGTGCCTTTCGAGTTCCGCCGACCGGGATAGGTTCCAGGTAACGATAAATAATGTCTCCGATATGAAATTACCTGATATTTCTGTATAATAATCACAACCAGTTATGCTTTGTTAGAGACCGTGAACACTTTAATAGGCTTTCTCACATTTCCAATGTTTCTCCATATTTTCGATATTTCTTTTAGTATTTAGTATAATAACCATGCTGATATTACTCATGAGAGAACAAAATATTCATAAATCAAATACTTTTGTGTTAGAAGTGAAGAAGAAAGTTCCTATGCGTTGAAATATCCTTAAATTTAAAGCATTGATATTTCTATACTGATGAATTTTGCCCTTGATTCCAGGATTTGTTGCCAGCGATGATGAGGACGTTGACCGAGGCATTAAACAATGGGAATGAGGCGACAGCACAGGAGGCACTGGAGTTGCTAATTGAGTTGGCAGGGACGGAGCCGAGGTTCTTGAGGAGGCAGATTGTGGATGTGGTCGGCTCAATGCTGCAGATTGCTGAGGCGGAGTCCCTGGAGGAAGGGACAAGGCATCTGGCAATCGAGTTTGTGATCACACTTGCAGAGGCAAGGGAGCGGGCGCCCGGAATGATGAGGAAGCTGCCACAGTTTATAAGCCGGTTGTTCGCCATTCTGATGAGGATGCTCCTGGATGTTGAGGACGATCCTGCATGGCATAGTGCAGAGACTGAGGATGAGGACGCTGGTGAGACAAGCAACTACAGTGTGGGACAGGAATGCTTGGATCGGCTTTCTATCTCTTTGGGTGGAAACACGATTGTCCCTGTTGCATCCGAGCTGTTTCCTGCATATTTGGCTGCCCCTGAGTGGCAGAAGCACCACGCCGCCTTGATTGCCCTTGCCCAAATTGCAGAGGGTTGCTCAAAGGTGGGCTTCTATTGTTAGTAACTGACTAGATTCATTTCGTGCTACAGAACATGGTTATAATCATTATGCATTTTCGGTGATTTGTACTATTTTTGAATGGTTATCAATTGCTAATAGCTATACGTGTTGTAAATGTACTGGATAATTAATGAAGAAATTGGTCTTTCCTTAGAAATTTACTGGCGTGCTTCAGCATTTTGAGCGTGACAGACGTAGCTACTCATTTTACAGAGGTCATTTCATTTCATTTCTAGTCATAAGCTACTCAAGGTCTTGAACATCCAATGCAGTTGTCTTATTTAACTTATTTTTTGTTAAAGGTGGATTTTATGACTTACACATCCCATTCAATTGATAAATTAGACCGATTCAGTTAGGTTGAATAGGGGCGCAAGTACGAGTCAATTACCTACTAGATGTTTCCAAACACAGCCTGTTGGACCGTTAGGTCATGTTATATGGTTGTCTTTACCCTTTTTTACCTGCATAGTATTTCTTGAAGTATAGCGTTTGTTGCAGGTAAAAAAGGTTCTTTATTTTCTTGTATGGTATTTGATAATATGTTCCTGTTATTTCTCAGGTGATGTTAAAGACTTTGGACCATGTGGTGGCAATGGTCTTGAACTCATTTTGTGATCCCCATCCCCGTGTAAGGTGGGCAGCTATTAATGCTATTGGTCAATTATCTACGGATTTGGGCCCGGATTTGCAAGTTAATTATCATAAGCAGGTGCTTCCTGCCCTTGCTGGAGCTATGGATGATTTCCAGAATCCTAGAGTGCAGGTCATCCACTAGCTTTATGCTTATCAATTTCTTCCCTGAATGACTAATTTGATTTTGTATGAGATATGATTGCTCATCACATGATCAATATGATATCTTGTATTTTAAGCTATTGAAAACTTATTTGCTCTTGTCCTTATTATGGAAAGTTATTGAAATCATGATTCTTGGTTCTGCTTGTTCAGTTTCCTTTATGTGCTCTTTCTTTTTCTTTTTTTTTTTTTTTTTTGTTGCGCGGTTTATCTGTTGTCAAATAGCATTTTTCTTCCATTTGAATTTCGAGCATTTAGTATGATGTTATATTCATATGCAAAAACTGTACTTCCAGTTTTAAATTCCTTTTTTCCTTTCATTTGAATTTCCAGCGTTTAGTATGATGTTGCTACATTCATATGCAAAAACTGTGTACTTCTAGAGTTAAAGTCGGTACTTGTATATCTACAGGCACATGCTGCTTCAGCAGTGCTCAACTTCAGTGAGAACTGCACTCCAGAGATTTTAACGCAATACTTGGATGGAATTGTGGGCAAGTTGCTTGTACTTCTGCAGGTATATGTTTAACCAAAATAATCAGTATCATAAGGCAAAAGCTAACATTAATTAATTATATGTGCTTAGTTAGAAACCAGAATATTATCTAGATTTGTCTCAATGTCACTTATGTCTTATGCAGAATGGGAAACAAATGGTGCAAGAGGGGGCTTTGACAGCTTTGGCATCAGTTGCTGATTCATCTCAGGTAATTTTGTAGACTTGGGCCCGTTTGGTTTGTAGGTTTAAACAGAAATTTAAATTTTGTGAGAGAAAACACTGTAGTAAAAAGGTTTGAACAGTAGTTTGAACCTATGAAACAAATGAGAGCACAAGTATTTCACGATGATGGATTGTTGGTTATGGATGATTTGATATGATTTTACATGGATTTGTAGGAGCACTTCAAAAAATACTATGATACGGTAATGCCTTACCTGAAAACAATCTTGGTAAATGCAACTGACAAATCCAACCGTATGCTTCGTGCCAAATCCATGGAGTGCATTAGTTTGGTTGGTATGGCTGTTGGAAAAGACAAGTTCAGGGATGACGCTAAGCAGGTAGCATCATTTACGTAATACTCTCCTTGTTCTTTTTCATTTTTTGAGGGTAATTTTCTTGAATGTTTGAATTGAATTGTGGACTAAAGGATTAATGAACTTGTATTGTATATCAATGCGCTTAATACTATTCCTTGAATTACTTGTAAACATTTTGTATCATCTCTCTCTCTCTTTTCCTAACGCTCAGAAACTGAAATGTTGCATGTTGTTGGGCAAAAAATAAAAAATAAAATAAAAATAAAAATAAAAAATAAAATAAAATTTGGACCTTGCAACAAGTCAATTAGCTTGGAACTGGATATATATTGTCCATATCTTGGAAATTGTTTTTGAGCCAGAAATCTGGTGTTTATTATTTGAATGCAAGGTTATGGAAGTGCTGATGTCTTTGCAAGGATCTCAATTGGAGACGGATGATCCCACCACGAGTTACATGCTACAAGTATGCTTTTATAACTTAAAATTTTGTAAAAGAAAAAAGTTGCACATGGCGCTTTGTGTGAAATAATCTATAATGTTGTAATTATATAGGCATGGGCTAGACTTTGCAAGTGTTTAGGACAGGATTTCCTCCCGTACATGAGCGTTGTAATGCCGCCTTTGCTTCAGTCTGCTCAACTTAAGCCCGATGTAACCATTACATCTGCAGATTCGGATAATGAGATTGAAGACTCTGATGATGAAAGGTCTGAACTTCTATGTATTATTTCTTTTCCTCTGAGATGGGGGTTTTATTTTACTTGTTAGCATGTATTTTACTTTTCATCAGCCTTACTTATTAATTGTATTCTTTCCCCGTTGTTAAATGAAGAAGCTTTGAACTGTTCTAGATTTGGTGTTCTTTGAATCTTGTTCTTTGAATCTTTGCTAAAGTATAGCAGATGTGACATGTCTTCGCACACACATCCCTTTCTCTCTCTCTCTCCTTCCTCCCCTCTCTCTCTCACATATGCGCACGCTTGCACATCGCACGCACATACAACAAAAAACTGGACATATTCTGCTTCTATTAACTCTCTTACACACATAATAATCATATGCATTGAACTCTGAATTATATTTTTTGGATTTTTCGTATTTATAAGTTTATGTGTCATCTAACTCTCTCTATAGCAGTTTATCTTTTCTTTCTCCTTTCTTTTTGGTCCTTTTTTTTAGAATTATTTTTCCCCAGATGCATCTGTCTAAGATTTGCTTGCTTGTTACAGTATGGAAACAATTACGCTTGGGGACAAAAGAATAGGAATTAAGACTAGTGTTTTGGAGGAAAAAGCTACAGCTTGTAATATGTTGTGTTGCTATGCTGATGAATTGAAGGAAGGATTCTTTCCATGGATTGATCAGGTTTGGGTTAATCTTATTTTTCGTTTTCCTTGATAGGTTTTATGCGGATTTGATCTTTTAAAAAATGGTACTCATGTTACTTGGCAGGTTGCTCCAACTCTCGTTCCACTTCTGAAATTTTATTTCCATGAAGAAGTTAGGAAAGCAGCAGTATCAGGTAGTCCAACAATTAACATTACATGTTTTTATCTCTCTTACTTTTTATGACTTTTATCCCCCCATTTACATTTCATGTCGTTTTTTATCCCCCTATTTACATTTAATGTCACTTTCTAGCTTGAAAGTTCAAGATTCTTCTTTCTTGGTTCCAGCCATGCCAGAGCTATTGCGTTCAGCAAAATTAGCTATCGAAAAGGGGCTAGCTCAAGGTCGCAATGAGACCTACGTAAAGCAGTTGTCTGACTATATTGTCCCGGCTTTGGTTGAAGCATTGCATAAGGTAATCTTAATCTGTCATTTAAACCTCTGGTGTCTGTGCGCGCGTGCGTGCATTTTGATTGTGATGAGGTGGTTGGTAAGTACTAATGTTGCAATCTGTGCGCAGGAACCTGATACAGAGATCTGCGCGAGCATGTTGGATGCATTAAATGAGTGCATACAGGTCTGTTATGGTCTAACAATTCACACACACACATATATGTTTTTCTGGGTTGTATTCAATGTCTACTAACACGCTTAACTTCCTTTTACCCTGGTATCTTGTTTGACTATTGAACCAGACACGTATAAGCATTCCAAGCAACCTTTAGGTTATGTTTTGATTGTCTAAGATCTAGAAGGGCAGTTTTGTTCTCAATTTCCATAATGGACTTATTAATATATCTTACAATAGTTTAGTCTAAGAATATAATCAGCTCAGATTTTACTTTTCTATTATCTGTAGTAGGAGTGTCTAGGAAAATTGCATGGTGAATTCGTATTCTTTCTCGAAAGGAGGAAAGTATCTCTTTCATGCGTCATGGGAGAATATTATTGAGTTGCTCTATTATTGGTTTTTTCACATTAGTACATGTGCACAAATGACTTATCCTGTGGTTCTGTTTCCGTTTTAGATCTCTGGACCGTTATTAGATGAAAACCAAGTTAGATCGATTGTGGACGAGATAAAACAGGTGATCACTGCTAGCTCCAGTAGAAAAAGAGAGAGGGCTGACAGGGCCAAGGCTGAAGATTTTGATGCTGAGGAAGTGGAGATGATTAAAGAGGAAAATGAACAGGAGGAAGAAGTTTTTGATCAAGTGAGTCTTTTATGATACCATTATCAGACACATTGCTTTATTTTATTTTATTTTATCTTATTTTATTTTTGTATCATTTTTTTTCTTCACTCCAGGTTGGTGAAATCTTGGGAACTTTGATCAAGACATTTAAAGCCTCATTCCTCCCTTTCTTTGATGAACTGTCATCTTATCTAACTCCTATGTGGGTAAGTCTGGCGTGAAGCTTAATTTGTTCCTTATTTTCTCTCCTGAGTTCAAAATAACTTTCTTGTTTCTTGATAGTGGACCTTCCTTTTCAAATGGATGACAACCATAATGTTGTTCCATGAATTGGACTTTCCCGTCTCCGTTTCATTTTTTTATTATTTAAGAAAATTATTATAATTATTTTGGTTATTTTCCTCAGTTGTAAAGTTTCTGTTCAAAAGGAGTCCTAATATGGTCCCTAAAAAAGAGCAATGATACACAACATAAAAAATCTTATCATGAATATCATGAGTGCACCCGTGTACAAATCTGTAGGCTTTGCAAAACTCTAGTGCCTGTTTTGTGCCAACTTATTTTATCCCTAACTAGTTATATTCTCATTTTCATGATATATGGTGAAACTGTTTCTTCATGATATGTATCATTTTCCTTAAAAAGATAGTCAATGAGTTTTAATATTTTTGATGCTTTGGGTTTGATTTAACAAATATTTTGTGAGCGAGTCTGGGTTTTCTTATTATATATATATATATATATATATGTATGTATATATATATTTACTCTGGACCTGAACATAGGGAAAAGACAAGACACCTGAAGAAAGAAGGATAGCAATATGCATATTTGATGATGTTGCAGAGCAGTGTCGTGAAGCAGCTCTAAAGTAAACCTTATTTTATTTGTTAATAAATAATTTTTACCTTTGTAATTATTTTGCGTACTCACTTGATATTTGTCCTGATTTGCTCAGATATTACGACACATTTCTCCCTTTTGTATTGGAGGCGTGCAATGACGAAAACCCCGATGTCAGACAGGTTTGTATTAAGTCAACTGCATTTTATTGTTCATATGGTGCTGGAGCTTGTTGTTTGATTGCTTTGACCGTCTTTTTCAGGCTGCTGTATATGGGCTTGGTGTTTGTGCGGAGTTTGGTGGATCTGTATTCAGACCTTTAGTTGGAGGTATGTTTATCTTGATCTTGAATGTCTTAAAAATGTGAATCTCTTTTTGTTGGTGGCTGACATTTTTAGTGCATCTTCAGAGGCTCTTTCAAGGCTGAATGTTGTAATTCAGCACCCTAATGCTCTTAAAGATGAAAATTTGATGGCGTATGATAATGCTGTTTCTGCGTTGGGAAAAATATGTGTGTTTCATCGTGATGGTATTGATGCAGCTCAGGTACCTGCATATTTTTTATTTTTTAATTGATAAATCACTTGCATATTGTTCCCATTGTAATTGATGCCAATTGCTATTATGTTATTTTTCTTTGATCATTTTTTCATACATAATAAGATATGTGTGTGCATTGGGCGGTTATTGCAAACCGAGCCTTACAGTTACTATTATATGCAGTAGCATATCCTAAACGTTTTGGTTGGAATCGTGGTTTTTGTTTACTGATAATTTGTGGTGGGTTGCCTAGTTGTAACTCTGCCATTATTGGTTCAATTATATATAAGAATTTGTCTTCCAAACATTCCTTGAGCACTGGCGTGTAGGTTTGTGTTCTTCACGTGTGTGTTCTGATACATATGATGTGTATTTGACAGGTGGTTCCTGCGTGGTTGAATTGCTTGCCTATAAAAGGTGACTTAATTGAGGCGAAAGTTGTTCATGACCAGTTGTGTTCAATGGTAGAAAGGTCGGTACATCAAATATCTAATACTTCGACATTTTTATTATCATTTTCCTTTCTGGTTTGTTTTTCCTTCGGAGTACAATACCTATCATTTTTACATCCGTTCTTGTTATCCATCTACAGGTCAGACCGGGAACTTTTGGGTCCCAACAATCAATATCTTCCCAAGATAGTTGCAGTTTTTGCAGAGGTTAGTGTGTGATTTGTATTCATAAAGCAGCTTAAATTTCGAAATCTGAGATTTTTGATGAGTTTTGCACCACTTTACTCATAAAGAAATATACTTGAGTCCACATGTTCGCTCAGCATGATAAACTTCACTCGGAATTTATCATGATCACCAATGTAGCCATCTGCATTTCGAACCATTGACAAGGCTACAGTTTGCAATTCATGGTTTCAAAATGCTATGTTTCAGAGTTGTTACTAAAAATACTGATAAATCTAGAAGATGTCAAAATGGGCAATGCCTAAGTTCCTACTTCCGTGTTTGGCACCAAGGCACGTGTTAGTATTTGGCACAAAATCTCAGCACGAATTGGACAAGGATTTTTGTACTCAGATGCCAAACTTTTTCATTGGCATGAAATACATTGCTGCATTGGTCATGCATTTCTTTTAGAGATTTATTTTTATTTTTTACTTTTTATGTTCTTATTACTTTGTGTTTGCAATTTCCGATGATAGTTGAATGTAATTGGACGTTATAGCCAATACTGCCATTGAGTTCTGATTCAGAATAGTTAAATTGATTAAATGACGTGACATGAATTATTGAAGATATTGCAAGTTAGCTTGAAGCATCTTTTCTAATCAGTGATTATTCTTGTAGGTTTTGTGTGCGCGTAAAGATTTAGCAACAGAACAAACTGCAAGCAGAATGATTAATCTACTAAGGCAGCTTCAGCAAACTTTACCACCGGCGACCTTGGCGTCGACTTGGTCCTCCTTACAACCTCAGCAACAGCTTGCACTGCAATCTATTCTCTCCTCATAGTATCTCAACTCTCGGTTGCTGCAGGTTTCGATTATACCTTTGGCTCTTGTATTGTGTGTCAATTATATTATCACCCATTCTTTGCATAAGATGGTTCCCCATCATTCGTTTCTGCATAATGTTTTACTGCAAGACGGCATCATTGCTTGGAAGTCATCAATGCGATTGGAATGATCCTTTTTTTGTAGGATGTGTATACTACAAGTGTTTGTCCCTTTTTTTTCTTTTCTTTTCTTTTTCTTTTTAATATATATAGTGCGGTTTGAGTACAGAGGAAAAGAAGGTTAGTTTATGGTGGTTTGCCGAGTGGTTTTATTTTTTTGGTGGGTGCTTGAGGTTTGAGGGTTGTCAGTGAGGCAATGCTTGTAGCAGTTTTGTTTCCCAATTGTGTTTTTCCTATATACATACATTTTGAGAAATTTGTTGACGATATTATTTTGGACAAATTAAATTTTCCCCTTGAATTTTATTATCTGAAATTCTAGTTGTCGCATAATCACTTTGATTTGTCTACCACCCTAACTTCTTAACTTCTCACAGAATGTTGTGTTGTGGTTGCATGTTTAACATGATGGTAGTACCGCCCAAGTTGAATTCTCGAGTTTTACCCTGCGAATTTGTTTTACAAGTTTGAACTACTGTTCAAATTTTTTTATTGAAGATTTTCTACCACAAAATTTAAATTTTTGTTCAAACTTATGAACCAAAGAGGTCCTTAATCTTCCTATTCTAAGGGCACTTTTACTTTGCAAAGGGAAAGAAAAATTTAGGAGCCATTCCGTTTTTCATATATTAGTGTTTACTTACAATGTTGGGCATCGGGGGCTCCACATGTAGAGAATGGGGAAAGGAAATGTTGGCTGTGTTTGGGAGTTGTTTTTGTTTTTGTTTTTTACATTTTTCAAAAAAGAAAAGATAAAAATGGGAGAGAAACGGCGTTTGACACAATTAAAGATAAAAGATGGAAATGAAAACGATTTTTTAGTTTAGTGTAAAATAGGAAAGAAAGGAAAAACGATTAAAAGTCTTTTTTTTTTTTTTTCGTTTTCTTCTCTCTTGAGTAGAGAGAGAGAGAGACATTAATAGATTTTTTTAATACTGAAAATATTCTTTTGATAAAATTATCAAACGCATTTTTAAAAATGATTTCTGTCTGAGATTGAAAACGTTTTCATTTTTATTTTCATACAAAAAATAAAATTATTTCGAAACGTGTTTTAAACGCACCCGTTGATTTACACATATTTTTGGCAAGTTATTATAGAGTCGGTGAATACAAATTGTGTAAAATAACGTTTTAGATTACATTGATAAGATTATTATTCTTAAATTAAGTAAATAATACTAAATAATGGGGTGATTTTTCATTACATAATCTAATAATCAAGTAAACAGTAGAACGAGAATGAATTATCTTTATTCTTATATATATATATATATTATGGTTTGGTGAACTGCCCTAAATTCAATCAACATGTATATATAGGTTAAAAATGTGGTTTACAGCTTATAACGCCTCTCTGGTCTCTATAGGACTTTGAGCACAAAAATTGAGTAACAATGATGGCAAAAGGAGCTAGGCAACTTGTATCTTATAATGTGCTTATATCACCATTTAAATGTGGGAACCACCACCCTAAGATTAGAGGGCCATAGATTAGTATTCTCAAGCACAAAATCAATATCAATAGCCAACGGATATTCTGGATGCAAACTCCCAAAATTTAGATAGTTTACTTATGCAGAATCTATTTATAGTCGTTAATAAAAGATACCATGAGCTCTCTCAATCTTTATTTATTTTTTTCTTTCTTTTCTCTCCATTTTGAGATGGCATTATAATATATAATGTTAGGTAAGTCCATTTATATTAAAGAAGCTGGATAATTATCTCCAAGAGATCAATTTCTTTCGTTTTCTTTTTGGAAGGATTCAACCTCTGACTTGCAAAGATGGAACTACAAGTGTCATGCCGTCGTGCCGTCAACAAATGTTGTTTTCATGCTTTTGTCTTCCGTTGACTCAGTGAAGATGAAGACTAACTACTCAGCCCTGCCCAAGTTCATTAACAATAAAAATATACACAACACACATTCACAAGTTTATGTAATAACTAATAATAATGTTGGAAAAACAAAGCACAAGAAAATGGCTCGCATGTCTCAAATAAACATGTCCAAAAAACCAACTATGATTTGGCCATCAACAGAACATTGGAAAGTCAGAACTAAACTAGACCTGACATGTGGGCAAGAATAAGATATTGATGAAAACGAGCTGCCCACTAAAGGGTCTCAAATTTCTTCTCTCGTCGTTACTATAAAAACCAAGGTCTCTTCCCTCATTTTGTGCATCCAAAATTCTTCATAAAATTTTTGTTGCAAATGGAACTTCTAGCCCCAAAGCAGCAAAAAGGGGTCTTAGCTAACAAAAGGAGCAAGTTCAAGGAAAGGGCAAACAACAAAAAGAGCAACAAGTTTGTCGGGGTGAGACAGAGGCCCTCAGGAAAATGGGTGGCAGAAATCAAGGACACAACAAGGAAGATAAGGATGTGGCTTGGAACCTTTGGCACGGCTGAAGAAGCTGCTCGAGCCTATGACGAGGCCGCCTGTCTTCTTCGCGGCTCAAACACCCGAACCAACTTTGCCAACCGCGGTCCGACCAATTCTCAGCTCTCTTTGAAGATCGAAAACCTCCTCAACCGCAAAAAGAGTTTAAAACAAACCACCCCAAATATTAGAGCTAGCACTAGAATTAGTCCCACTTGTACTACTATTTGTCCAAATCCCGCTTCCGACCTCTCTCATTACAACACCAACCAAATTTCCAACTTGACAACAAACTACACTTCCTTGTCTCTTTTCAACAACCCTAATAATAATATGATCTTTGATGGTGCATATAAGCCGGATATGATCAACTGCATCGAGGAACTTCACCCGGGTTTCGATCACTCATGGCCTTTCCCAATCGGGTTCGATCAGTTTCCAATAGCTGACCAAGGGATGGAGCTAACAAGAGGCGTTAACATCGAAGCATCATCATCAACATCTAGTGCAACAGAGTTGGAGTTGACAGAATTTGGACGTGTGAATTTAGAAAGGCAGATATCAGCTTCGTTGTACGCAATGAACGGAGTGAACGAGCATGTGGAGGATGCATATGATGGTTATGATGATGCTTCATGGAATCTTTCCGCTTTCTATCAGTTGTATTGTCCAAGTTGATAATGTATACTCTTTCTATTTCTCTCTTTTGTATCTTTTTTCTTTTTCTTTTAATCAATTCTTGATTGATGAAGAAGAAGGAAGATCTTGGCAATATAGCCAATACATACAATCAATAAATAGAGAGAACATTTAACATCTTTTTTATTGTTAAAATTCGGGGTTGTTTGGTTAAAGGATTCAAGGGGTTTAAACTCAAATTCAAACCCTTAATATTACGTTTAAAACTCTCAAAATAAAAGGATTTTTAAACCCAAATTCTTCTTGAGCTATCAGATTTGAACGCAAGTTTAAACTACACAATTTAAAACTCACATGGTTTAAACCCAAGATTCACAACTAGGAACAGAGAGAAGAGTTACTAATAAAAAGCATAAGAAACATTGCCAATGCTCCGTATTCCTAAAAGTGTCAAGTTAAAAAATAAAACAAAACAATAAAAAAAAACGACAACAAAAGAGACGGACGCCTCAAAAAAGGAATTTGGCTTTTATCAAAGAGAATCTACTTGGCTTTCACTTCATCATACTCGTTTAATTTTTTTTTCTTTTTGTTTTTTTTTTTTAAGAGATGTACGTGATGCACTTCTTTTGAGGGGAAGAGGAATCTCATTGGCGCAGCCCATTTTCAAAGAGGAATAGATAACATGAAAATTGAAATGGTCGGCTACAACAAAGGACATAACGAGCGATTCAGCCAAAAAAAAAAAGAAAGTGTCGGCAAGTGACCCGAAATTATCTGGGAACTCCTTCCTCCCCTATAACATTTTTCTTCTTAAAAAAAAAGAAATAAATAACGAGTGGATTTGAGCAAA